GGGGTCTGGTGGCCGCCATGCTCGGTGGAGCCGTCCAGGTGAGTGGGAGAAGCCAGGAGGAGGGGGGAGATGAGGTCCTGCCATGGCCAAGGGGAGACACAGCTGGTGTGCTGAGGTTGGGATGCTCCCCACTTTGGGCTCCTGATTCAATCACTGTGTGCGTGTGTGTGTGTGTATATATATTTGTGCATACACAGATAAAATTTTTCCTCAGAGCGGTGCTGGGGCACTGGCCAAGGGTTTCATCCTGGCAGAGCACCCAGTTCTTTTATTTTTAATCCAAAATCTGTTTCCCAGAAGGCATTGACAGAGCAGCACAGTTACATATGGCATCTTTAAACACCAGTATTCCATCCTCTGCATCTTGCTATGTCCACCATCTCCATCACTGGAGACCAACAAACTTCCTAGTGTTTCAAGAACTTCCAGTTCTTGGAAGTCCTCCATAAAACCAGAACCTTGCTCTGTTGCCCCGTTATATGTTCATTAGTGTTCTGCAATCCCTCCAGCTTGCACTGACATCACTGAGCTGCTGGGGTTACATCATTCCCGGATTTGCCCAAAGCAAAATCCAACTGTTAATGGAAAAAGATAATTTATTGTGTCTTCTTGCTAAATTCCTGACATTGGGAAAAGAACATTAGTTGGAGAAAACGTAAACCCAGAGTCTTGCAGCTCTAATGGGCACCCTCCCAGGCGAGCTCCTGCTCCTGTTCTGGCATTAATGGGAGCAACTGAACTCGGCAAATTGAATGCCAAAGGATTCGGAGGCAGCTGCAAAGCTGTTTGTTTCCATGGCCAAGGGTTTTTTACAGAATCATCCAAAAACTCCCCAAAACCAGCTCAGCCCCCGTGCCAGTGCTGCTTCTCTCCCTGCCGCAGCTGCAATCCAGTGACTTTGCCGTGCTGAAGCGGCTGGTGCCGTTGCTGGAGGAGCTCTCCCAGACCTACCCCGAGCCCCTCACCCAGGAGCTGGCCACAGACCTGCGTGTGGCCATCTGCACCCATGGGGCCGTCGCTCCCGGCACGCTGGGCACTGCTGCTGACAGTGTGCTGGGGAAGAAGCCGGGCATGGGAGCACAGTGTCCTGCTGGCAATTCTGGTGGAGCCCCGAGCCCAGGAGGTGGCCGGGCACCACCACGGCACAGCCGCAGCAGTCCCTCAGCTCCCAGGGAGAAGAGTGAAGAGCAGAGCTTGAACTGTGAGCCCCGCACTGCAGGTCCTGCTCCAGCCCCGTGCACTGACAGCCAGGCCCCCGTGGGGCTCCAGGAGCTCCTGGTGTCAGCCTATGACCCCCAGCCCTCCAGCCGGGCAGCCGCCCTGCGCCACCTCACCAAGCTCATCACCCAGCGGGATCCAGAGGCTCTTCAGCTTCAGGAGAAACTCCTCCAGGTATGGGTTGCTGCCACAGTCCCTGTCTTGCACAGCGCTGGGGATGATCTGTGTGATCAGAGCCCTCTGACCTCTCCACCACCATAGCTGACACCTGCTGTGCCAGCTGGGTATGGGCCAGCTGCCAATGGCCACCTCTGTCCTCACAGGTGTTCCTGGAGAACGTGCAGCACGAGGATGCCTTTGTCTACCTCTCGGCCATCCAAGGTGAGCAACGCCAGGCTGGGCCAGCATGTCACAGGAGGAGGCTGGAGGGACTTTAGGCAGCTAGAGCAATGAGCAGCAGAGCTGTGGCCAGGCTGGGGCCCAGCGTCTCCTGCCCTTCCGGTCTTCACGCCATTTGGTTCAGCCTGGAGCCACATGTGGGCTCTGCCGCATTCCCGAGGCCAGCAGGCTCCATCTCCCTGTTGTGTGTACTCAGTGGGTAATTGGTTCATTAACCCTCGGACTGAGCTGCTGATCTGCCTGGGCTACACATGCCTCCTTGGTGGAGCCCTGGGCAGGTTCACCCCTGGGATCTGGTCACTATCCCTGCACTGGGTCGGTGCCATCAGCCTGGGGCCGCGATTTCGGTCGCTGCTGGCCACGTGGAGGTGGGTCCACAGAAGCATTTTCCAGGTTGGTTCCCTGGTCCATTGCCATTCCCATGAGCCAAAGCAACACTGGTGCTACTGGGAGCCCCGGCTGCCGTGGGGCAGGTAACCTCCGCCAGCAGCTGGATAAGAAGCTTATCGCCGAGCTTCCCTTGGCCTGTTGGGTCTTGAGCAGGATGGGCTCATCCTTGCCCCGCAGGTGAAGCAACCGCCTCAACCATCCCCGGTGATGAATCCACCCCGCGCAGCTGCTGCCGTATTTGTCAGCCATTATAGCCGTGACGCGGTGCCTTGCGGCACCGCAGCTGCAGGGCTGGGGCTGCCCCACAGCCGGCTGTCGAGGCACTGCCGGGCACCGCTGAGCTGGGCTCCAGCCAGATGATGCTGGATGACAGATCACTGCCCCGTTGGGCATGCCAGGGCCTGCGGAGGGTAACCCATGCCGGGCACCCGCCGATAACTGGGAAATGAGGTTGGAGGTGAAGGTGTTGCTGCTGTAGGGCAGGAGAGCTGGGGCTCAGCCTGACTCAGCGCTAGGCACTGCCAGCACTGCCGTCGGCCCCTTCCCTGATTAGCAGCCACCTTTCCTCAGCCCAGAGGTGCCTGGCACTGCCAGAGTCCTGCCCAACAGTTGTCTTCAGCCTGCATCCCTAAAGGAATGGCAGAGCCAGCACAGCCTCACAGCATGGCTTGACATGCATCCTCTGATGGGGTCTGAACCCTTCTCGTCCTCAGGGAGACGTGGCAGGCAGAGGGTACGCTCAGGCACTGGCCAGGCAGAGCCAGGGGCATTCAGGGAGTTCTGGTGGGGACAAGGACACAGCAGCAGCATATGCCTGATGGCCAGGAGCCTGGAGCAGCAACCAAACTGCATTTCAGCATTGCTGGTGGTTCCCTTATGGCAGCCGATGGCCAGCGTGCCGAGGCAGTGCTCTGTTGCTGAACATGAACCAGCAGCAATTAGAGGCACCTGCTACCAACTGTTAAATTGTTGATTTTTCACCTTGGCACCCCACCCGGCCTGGTGGAGGGGCTGCAGGATGTGCTGCTGGGCTGTGACAGCTGCACCAAGGGCACCAGGGTAGCCAGCAGTTCTGCTGAGAGTGGTGGCACATGCCATCCTTCTGCCCAGGCCTGACCCACAGTTCCCCCTCTCTCTCCCCAGGTGTTGCCCTGCTCTCCAGCGAATACCCTGAGCAGATCCTGCCTGTCCTGCTGGCACAGTACGAGTGCCCAGCACAGGGCACGCAGGACACCACGGCCACTGTCACCAGGATGAAGCTGGGTGAGGTGCTGATGCGTGTCATCCAGGCACTGGGTGAGTCCCTACGGGCATGAAGGTGCCAGCAGCTGTGGCACCACTCGGCCCCACGCTGCTCTATGCCATGTCACCAGGCCTGGGGGGCAAAGCCACTGGGGACTGGCTCTCCATGTGGTGTCTGTGTGTCCATCCCTGGCTGTGCCCAGTGCTGTGGCTGCACCAGGCTGGGCTCCCTGGGCAGCTGCTGGTGGCACTGCTGCAGTGGGTCAGTGGGCACAGCTCTGTGGCCCCTCTCCCCCTCCCCGTGGTGCCTCTGCCGCCGGCAGCGATGCCGGCGCGTCCTGGCTCGCCTGCGTATTTATAGAACAAATTGCACGAAGCTGCTTCTGTTGCAAAGCTGCAGGATCTGAGGGTGAGGATTTATCTGGTGCTTCCAGGAACACTCTGCTCTGTGTGGCAGTGCTGCTGTGGCCCCGTGCCCTCCTGCTGCAGCCTGGGGACTGCCTTGCCCTCCTCCTACACCATCCCTGTCCTCATCCCTGCCTGACAACCCACTGGAGTGGCTATTTGTTTTGTGGCAGGCATCTCTCCTAACAGACATCATGGTGCTGCCTGGAGCTCCCCCACCCTGTGCCCTTCCAAGCACCCAGCCAGTTAGTAATGGGTGAAGCCCCCACATCATGGTCCTGCAGGATCCTCTGCTGGTTCCTGCCCAGCCCTTGGCCACCACATGTCTTATTTCCCCTTCTTGCACCCAGCCAGTGCTCCCAGGCACATGAGCTGAGGAGTAGCCAGTCCCCAGCCCTGAGCCCCTGAATGCAGGGTCCCACTCTAGGGCTCATTCCTGTCCTCACATAGGGGGACATCCCACTGTCTCCAGAAGGAGGACACCAGCATCTGAGGAGCTTCTGGAGCTTTGCAGAGCCAGAAAACCATGCTGCCCTGGCCAGAACAGCCCTGCCCAGTGGGAGCCACATGCACGCCAGGGTTGCATGGCCACCAGCCCTCCAGTGCTCCCAGGACCACGCACAGTGATTGCTCATGCCAGTCACAGCCTCGCACGCCGACCCTTAATTAGGCGGCTCACACGTCCGCAGCGCCTCCCTGCACTAATTGGGGTGGGGGTTGTGTGGCTGAACGACGTGAGAATTTGGGCTTTACACTTCATTTTGGTGTCTGGGGTCACTTTCTATGTCTGACTTCACCTCTGAGTCCCGCTGGGGGGATGTGGGATGTGCCGGGTGGCCCCAGACAAAGCTCTTTGCTGGGGTCTGCGCTGCAGCGTCCTTGACTCGGGCACTAAGGTGGGTCCCCACCGAGGCTCTGCCCGTGCCTCACTCCAAGCTGTGACCAGATCCCCACAATGGGCATAAGCCACGCTCCAGATGTTGCATCCAGCTGTTCAGTGGTGCTGCGAGGGGAGGGAGGCCCCATCTGGCTGCTTCCAATGTAGCCAGGGCTTTGGCAGGATGAGGCCATGGCTTTTTCCTTGCTGCTGACGTGCTGCTGCCCTCTCTCTTGCAGGGGACATGGTGTTCAAGCACCGGGAGCCGCTGGTCCGGGCCCTCCTGCGGGGGGCGCGGGCCCCGGACAGCTCCCTGCGCGCCAGCAGCCTCTCCAACCTGGGCGAGCTCTGCCAGCGCCTCGGCTTCCAGCTGGGCTCCATTGTCCAGGAGGTACCAGCTCCATCCTGGCACTGCCACTCCCTTCCTCACGTCCCTGCCCTCACTCATTAATGAGGGTGGTTCATTAACAGGTGGCAGGGCTGCTGGGGGCTCAATAGATTCCATGAAGGACACAAGGGGTATTTGCTGATAGTGGAGAGTGTAGAAGTCGTTGGAGCTGAAGCAAACACTTGGAGAATTTTAGCCCTGATTTTTAGGGCTAAAAGCTTTATAACCAGCTAAAGATGCCACTCGCATGCCCCCACCCCAAGTCCAGGGTCCCATCCTCATCCTCCAACCCCAGGACACCCTTAGCACAGTGGGTGTCTGCTCTGCCTGGTCTCCCAATGTCCTCCTGCTGCAGGTCCCAATCCTGTCCCTGCAGGTCACCTCCTGCTTGACAGCCATAGCCAAGAGGGACCCTGAGGCAGAGGTGCGACGAGCTGCTGTGCATGTGGTGGTCCTGCTGCTGCGGGGGCTCAGTGAGAAGGCCACTGAGGTGGGTTGTCCCCTGCCAGACCCTGGGGCTACCACCCAGAGCATGATGCTTCTCAGTGATGATTGCTGTCCCACAGGCAGATTCCAGGGAAAATCCCATGAAAATGGGACCTTCAGCTTGTGCCTCCCCCACTGAAGGGTCTTCTCAGCGCTGGATTCTTCCCAGAGCAGAGAGGGGACTTAGTGGGAGTGTCCCTCTAAGCTGGCGATGCCGTGGGGCAGTGCCAGCTCTTGGGAGCCGTGGGAGTAGTTCAGTGCAGATTTGACTTGGAAATGCCCAGTTTTTCCACGGGCTGTGGCCGTCCTTCCCAGCACTGAGCGTGTTGGGACTCAGCTCCCGTGGAGGAAAGGGCTGGTTCCCCGTGGGAATCCCCACAGCAGGATTTTGGCTTTTCCCCCACACCGAAGGGACACTGCAATGCACTGCCGGCGCCTGGGGAAACTGAGTCACAAGAGGGTCAGGGCTCTTGCCCGTGGCGGCGGCAGTGGTGGTGCTGTGTCCTGGCACCAGCAGCAGCAGTGGAAGGGGCAGTGCTGCGCCTGCTGAGGCATGCCAAGTGTTGCGTTTCGGGCTGTTGGGTGCGGGCGAGACGCCGGTGGGTGCTGACGCTTCTCCTGGGCAGGTGCTGCAGGACGTTCTGCAGGACCTTTACCGCCTGCTGAAGCACGTGGTGATGGCCGAGCCCGATGGCACGACGGTGCTGCACGCCCAGCTGGCGCTGGAGGAGCTGGACACTGTGATGAGGAGAGTCCTCTTCCCCCCGCAGACACTGGAGAAGAAGATCGTGGTGCTGCCGTAGCGGGGACACGGCAATGAACTCTTTTTGCTGTGGCGCTGGGGACACGCGGCTCCCGTCAGGGATGGGTTCGCTGTGCTCCTGGGAATGCCACCCATGGGTGCTAAGCTGGGGAGGAAGCTGCAGTCCCCCGGGCTCCCCAGGGCAGAGGGTCTTGCTGGGACAGGGGATTAAAGAGACATGCTCAGCCCTGTGTCTGTCACCTCTCTAGGAGCCACGTGGAGCTGCCAGGTGCCATCATCACCTGGCCTGGGGCTGGGCCGTGCTCATCCTTGCACGCTTGGGGTGGTGGCACCAATGTGAGTCCTGGTGAAGCACTGAGTTCCATGGGAGGCTGGGCACCAGACCTTGGGCACCAGCCCTGGCCCCAGTTGATGGGGCCAATGCCTCTGGCTCCCCTGTGGCCAAACAGAACTGGCTGCCCCTGAGGGGAGCCAGGAGGCTGGGAGGGCTCTGCTGTCCCCCTGCCCCAAGTGTGGGCAGCCATGAGCCATGGGGCTGGCAGGCAGCCTGGTGCTGCCGCACGGCGCTGCTGAGGGGGCCAGGGGTTGCTGAGATCTCAGGGCTGAGGGTGGGGCCCCTCCACTGCATGACCAGGAGCCCCCTCTGTGCCAGGGCTGCCATGTGTGCCAGGAATGTGGCCAGGGGCAGCAGGACCCTGCAGGTAGCCACTTGCCACCATGTGCCTGGGGACATCGCAGCATGAGGATGACCCTTCTCCCCACAGTTAGGGTGGCCCCTGTGGGTGCTGCAGCACCTTGTGCCATGCTCTGGCACTGGGAGCTGCTGTCACTGACTGGGTGGATGGAGCAGGGCTGGGGACAGGGGTGCTGGGGGGTGACATTAGAGCCCTTGGGGACCCAGCCCAGAGCCCCCCTTGCACTGGGCAGCCCAGTGCGAGACAATGGATGGTCCCAGGTACCTGTGTCCCGGCTGCCTGGTGCCGTGCCCTGCTGGATGGCAGAAGGGGCTCAGCACCTCCATTCCCTGCAAGGCTGGGGGTGCCAGGCTGTGTCTCCACC